GAAAACTCTGAGGTAGATGTTGCTAGCACTAATACTTTGTGTTTCTCATTCAACCCTTATTTCAAAATTTACTTCTTTAGTACAAAAAAAAAAAAAAAGCATCAAAAATATCTAGTACACTCAAATACTATTCACAAATGGTTGTGCATAGGCTAGTGAGGTAGAATAAAATAACTCTAGTTTTAAAAAAAATTAAATCTGCCTGGCTGGTGTGGCTCAGTGGATTGAGTGCTGGCCTGCAAACCAAAAGGTCTCCGGTTTGATTCCCAGTCAGGGCACATGCCTGGGTTGTGAGAGCAACCGATCGACGTACCTCTCGCACAGCAATGTTTCTCCCCCTGTCTTTCTCCCTCCCTCCCCTTCTCTGTAAAAATAAGTAAATAAAACCTATAAAAAAATTAAATCTGAAAATGAGTAAAAAAATTAACATGAAAGATTAGAATTTAGACCCTCTATAGATGTACAATTCTTATTCATATAAATCACATTATGTTTTATGCAATTACAAATACAGGAATACTCATTTTAAAACCAGGTCTGTTTGAGAAAGAAGGACAAACTAGGTTCTGAGGTAATTAGTTTAAAATAATATGGTAAGTATAAAATCGAAGCTAGGTACATGAACAAAGACAGCTTCACAAGACATAAGCAGATTTAAAGAAAGAACAGCAGTTGGACCAGTAAACCAGGACAGGGTAGGAAGATATTACAGATAAAATGAACCAAAGGGAGGGATAAAACCCCAGACACATGAGAAGGCAATATACAACTAGTATAGAAAGTATAGAAGGGAGGAAGACAACGAAAAGCTAGAGTTACAAAAAACTTGAAAAGCAGGTATGCATTGGATAATGGGATACACTACAAGCCATGATAAAGAGCTTAACTGTTTCCCCCCCATCCCCGCCACCCCCTGTAGGAAATGGGGAGGTTTTCAAGCATTTTAGCAGTGACATGCTCACATAAGTGTTTTAGGTCACTGTGGTGGCTGCTAAAATCATTTTATTATATGTATTTATTGAGGGTCTGCTACATGCCACGCTTTACCTCAGCAATAAACACAGAAAGCCTCTGCTCGCTTGAGATGTAGTGAGTAAACTTCACTACATTCAATAAGATTTAAAAATATTAGCAAAGAAATGGGCGACCAGTGATAAAACTCTGTATCATTATTAACTACCAAACTGCTTCGGTCATCTTTATAAGCACTATAAAATAGTACATAAAAATAAAATCTCCGTCAACATTGTTAGTCATCAGGGAAATGGAAAATCAAAACCATAACAAGATGCCACTTAATACCAAGATGACTATAGTCAAAAAAGACAGATAATAAGTGTTTAGTAGGATGTGGAAAAACCTGAATTCTCATACATTGCTAAGTGGAGATATAAAATAGTATAGCCTCTTTGAAGGACAGTCTGGCATTTCCTCAAAAGGTTAAACGTAGTTACCATATGACCTAACAATTCCACTCCTAGGTATATACTGAAGAAAACTGAAAATATACATCTACCATGCAAACGGAATACAAATATTCTAGCCACACTATCTATAATAAGACAAAAAGTGGAAACCTGTATGTCCATCAACTGAGGAAAGAATAAATAAAATGTGGGTGTGTGTGTGTATATATATATATCTATATATCTATATATGTGTGTGTATATATATAGATATATATATCTCATTTCTCAATAAGAAATGAAAATACTGATGCATGCTATATCATGGATGAACCCTGAAAATATGCTAAAAAAAGAAACCAGTCACAAAGGACCACATATATTGATATATGAAATATCCAGAATAGGCAAATCTATGGAGACAAAAAGTTGATTAATGGTTGTCCAGAGCTGGGAGGAGCTGGGAGGCAGCCCAAGGGGGCAAACTTTCTTTTTTGAGTAATGAAAATGTTTTAAATTTGATAATGGTGATAACTATATAGCTCTGCGAATATACTAAAAGGCACTGAATTGTATATTTAAATGGGTGAATTGAATGGTATGTGAATTGTCTCTGTAAGGTTTTAAAAAATGTAATCTTTAATGACATCTTCAAAATTTTTATTCCCCTTTCCTCATGAAACCAGATGATATTCTTCCCAGCATAGAATATAACACTGAGGTACCTAAAAATACCAACTTTTTTCAATCTTCTACTGGCAATTCTTCTTTTTTTTCCCCTGAGAAAACTAATCTTCCAGTTTGGCAGAAAACAATTTATTTTTATGACATCCAAACAATAAGAGAATAGAAGCTTTGATCCATTTGCACTAAAGGTGAGTTAGTCCTTCAACAACAACAAAATCTAAGAAATTTTTCTGATTAATAAGTTTGACCGTCTGTATGTCTTAATCTGATCAGTAATGTAAATGTTATCAATAGTTATTATTATTTATTATTAATATAATTGCTAAAAATTCTGAAGTTGATGCTAAGGTATCATTTTAATTTTATTTGCTTGTAACCACACTCCTATGAGGCCAGGAGTCAGATGAGGGAAGCATACTGCAAAAAATGTTAAATAATGAAAGAGAATAACACAAAATATTCACCTGTAAAAAAAGAAAATGCGTTTGCATGTATGCATAAGTTAACGTGTATTTGTACAAACAAAAGTGTGTTCAAGTGACCTGGTATGTTAATGCACTGACCTGAATACCAGCCCGAGTTAGTTCGCCCATCCACTTATTTTATTGTTTCATCCCTGAGTCCTCCAGTATTGTGGAAAAAATTCACACAGGTATACTATTTGGCTTTACTGAAAATCATATGGCTCCAACTTCAGTTGGAACCCCATGGTTATTTGAAAAATCGTTTCTGTCTCTAGGTTTTTCCTTTTTATACTTTCTGCAACAGCTATAACCATTTACCTTTTTTTCTCTCTCGGTAAATATCCATCTTTACTTATAAAGAAAACAGAAGCCATAGTATGTTTTCCTTCATTGTCCCTTACAACTTTCCTATAGTAGCACTCATCCTTTATTCATTCATCAGGAGAGTAAGTAATATTGTGATTCATCATTTATTGAGCATTTGCCATGTACCAAGCACTGGGCTGAGTACTTCAGATACAATAATTAATTTAGATCCCACAATAATCTTACAAATAAGTATTTTTCATCCCGTTTTTTACAGTGACAAAGTGAAGCTCAGGGAAGCTAAGTACCTTGTCCACAGTTTGTAGCTAATGAGTGGAAGAAAAGAGATTTGAATCCAGGTCTGTCTATAACCATGTCACCTTGCCCCTGAAAAGTGTTCTAATAACGTGTCCTGAGACCTCCACTGCTAGCGAGAACACCACATTCATCAGTTACTTTCACTACTGTATGATCTTTCTGTTTCCTAGTCAGTACTGAGGAAAAAAATATCTAAATTGCTATACTCAACTCAAAAACATGGCTTATGCCCTTTAGATTTCCATTTGAAAACAGATTTTAATAAAATTATATACATATCTATATTAGTTACAGTAATAAATTTTTAATCAAATGTAAATAGATGATTTAGATCTTAAAGACATGCAGGATTGAAAGATAAATGACTTCCACTGAGCTTCCAAGAAAAACTCAAAATATCAGGTTATACTCATAACAGTTATCTCCCTCTCTCTGTTCACTTAGAGAGTGGGGAGGGAAAAGAAATTTCTTCCTCTTATTTTTTTCCAGGAATCTCTCACTTTGGTAGAGAAAGGTAAAAAGCAGTTTAGCAACATAGGCAGACAGAGCTTTTTGTTGGTCCTGACAAATGTAGGCCCTAATTGGCTTCAATGAGTTCTCTCACATGACTTTTAATAAAACTTCAGTCTAAGTCTTTGATGGCTCATCCTAAGCCACATGATTTATTGTGCTGCTTACACAGATTTTTAATTCCCTACATCCACATTGCACTGAATCCTTTTCCTTAGGCTGTTAAGAATTAACTTCGAAAACTGTAATCACCATGGAAATAAGTACTAGAATTGTCTTGTTCAATATATTATTCCCAGGACCTATAGAATAGATGCTCAATAAACATTTGTTGTAATAAATGATGGCAAGAAAACAAGTTAAGAGAACACTGTGTAGCCTGTCATGCCTTTTAATAAAATCTCCCCAGAATACTTACACGAATTTGTTGTTTTGAATACTGTATCAAAATTTAGAGCCTACACTCTTTAAGCTTTAACACAAGATTAGTTTGTTTTTACAATATTCAGTATGAAAAAATTTTAAAGCAGTTTAAAAACATTTTTCTCATCTCTTTTGATTCAAAATCAACCAAGCAGTAATCAAGAGATAATTTCTGCTTTTTATTATTTTAGAGAGATGGGAAAGGAGGGAGAAAGTGAGAGAAACACTGAAGTCAGAGAGAAGCACTGATTAGCTTCCTTCCATACGCACCCTGGCAGTAGACCAGGGACTGAACCTGCAACCCAAGCACTGCCCTTGACCAGGAATCGAATGGGTGACCTTTCAGTTTGCGGGATGATGCCCAACCAATGAGCCACACTGGCCAAGCTAATTTGTGTGATTTAAATCTATATGTATCATTACTTTTTTATACAGTATAGCTAAAACTTTAAAGGCTGGGTTTTCTTTCATTCAGATCACAATGTAGCCCCCAAAATTCAGAGGATGTTAGTTTTATCTGCAGTTCATAAACAGCTTGTTAATTACTGATACAATTCAAGAACTCCCTGCGTATTTATTGCTGCATTCATTTTTAAACAAATATTGCAAAAGATTATTCACAATATGAGAAATGTCACCTAAATGCTAAAAAAAAAAAAAAAAACAAACCTGTAAATATCAATTTTTAATGGTAGGTACCTTGTCTATCATTAAAATAAGTATCAACTTCTTGTTCACTTTCAATTTTGCTAAATGCTACCCACTTCTAAATTAGCTATAATGATTCAAAATACCCGGTTATAGTTTCAGTATCACATCTCAATTTTCTCTAATCCCCTAAAATCGTGATTCATTTGAAAAGTAAATGGAAGAACTATTTACAGACCTCCATCCATCCTTCTGGAGATAACTGAAGGCTCCATCAACAACGCTTGCAAAGAACTGCCCTCCTGTGATGAAGAGGGTATTAACGGTGACTAGTCGGCCTCTTAAATTGGGGGGTGAGACCTCGGCGATGTACACTGGCACTGTCATAGAAGCAATGCCTGCAGAGAAACAACGAGAAGTAAACCTAAGACATTTACTCTCAATCGCTGTTGTTAGAAATGTTAATGCTAGACTAAGACACACACACACACACACACACACACACGCTCACTCACTCACTCTTGCTTGGTGTTCCACTCTAAACAAAGGTTTACCGCAGATTTAAAGATCGTTTTTCTAACTAGTGACTACTGTAGATAGGTAAAGATGCATGCGAGATACCAATCTCTGAGCATTATTTTTCATATTATTACTTGAAAGCCTGTAAATGAAATACCTCTAAAGATCTCAGATAACTTTAGAATGCACATAAGTACACTTTATAATTTTTTGAGGACTAAAAATAGGAAGATGTGCTCTAGATAGTACTGAAATATTTTTAGTCAATATGGAAATGTAATCAGACAATGGTGAGAATTTAGCCCAGAATACATATTAAATATCAAAGTCATCATTTCTAGCAGACACACCAAAACTCTTTATCGGTTTACCAATAAGAAATCCATACATTAAATCACTTTATTCAATCATCTAGATGTACATTTCAGAAATAGGTCACAATAAACAATACTGTGAAAATTTAGTTTTCAAAAAACAGATGATCTTAATCATGAAATAGATAGTTTTATGATCAAGGTGTATTTCTATCTAAAATCAATGCAGCATAATCTATGGCAGTAGTCCTCAAACTTCATTGATCACTAGAATCATTTATGTCCTCATCTCACCCACCCAGACTTCAATAGAAAACTGTGGAGTCGAGAAATAAACCTGTCTTAACAACCCTCCAGGTGACCCTGATGCTCACCATGTATTTGTAAAACCACAGTGCTATTGAGCCAATCCAAAATTATTTCTGAAAGAAAATCTTGGCCTCGCAGGCCATACCTAGCTCACTTCCCAGTGGCACTTCCCACTTTTAACCTAAAACTAGCAGCTAATCCATACACAAACAGTTCCGTAAAAAAAAAAATAACTATAAATAAATAAAACTAAGCAGGATTAACAAAAAAATATTTAGCCTTTGCTATCTGTAGGTATTATAAATCAATCCCCATATTAAACCAGAACACCAGTGGGTTGCATAACAGATCCATCTCCAATGGCTTTGAACAAATTGATCTGCATGGTGCCAAAAAGTAGCCTATATTGAAAGCAGCAGCAGTCAGAAATCTGCTGCTGTGTGTCCCGGGCAAGGGCTCACTGAAGGTGCTATTTACCACGTTCTGGACAAGAGGCATTTCTCTTCAGTCTCTGTAACTGCAATAGTTGTACTTCCAATAACTGGTGTGTGTTTGTTCCCTGGCACTACAAATCACACAGCTGTGTCTTACATCCCTCCCTGTGTAGGCCATCGGAGAGGCCCACCGATACCAAGTGTTTCAGACTTCATATTTATTCTGTGAAATAAACTCACTCTTCGACACATCTCCAATTTCACCTATTTTTTAATTTTGTTTTGTTCTATCTTTGAGCAAAGAAAATAAATAAATGCAGAGAAAGACAGGATTCATTTAAGCAATATATGTTTGCTTCTGGAACAGTCACTGTATTATTGCATAATTACTGGTAAGTAGTTACAAGGTTTGTACACAAGTCAGACCAGTAAGTCTGAGAACCACACACTCGGTCATTTACTGCCCCTGCATGATAATATGAAAAGTACCTTATGATTTTATGAGTTTCATAGTGAGCATGTGTTAATAAACAAAGTATAGTTTTGTCTTTACAAAGAGCTAAAAATTTCCTTCTGACTGCTAATTCATTTAATAGTACAGATCACCCTAAAATGGCCTTCATCTAACTTGGAAAGAAGAAATATTTGCAGCAAATGTTGACACTATTTTTTAGTTCTTTCTTGATTAAACTTTAAAAAATCAGACAGCAGTAACTGATTGTTTGGATTTCTTTTTCTTCTTTGGTCTGGCTGTAAACAAGAGTTCAGTTGCTCTCTTTAGCCAGAGATCTTTACTCAGCCATCTAGCCCACAGATGGGACTGCAGAAATCTGGACTGTGGCTTTAGGCAACATGTGTTTGTCACAAAGCTCAGAGAGTTTACTAGACAGAAAATGCAGAGTTGCCCCCAGGCCCTTACGAAGGTTGACATTTAAAGATAAACACCACTATACTGAGAAGTAACGGATAATGACAGAGGCAAAAGATTGAAGCACTATAAAAAGACAGTCTTGCTGGGTTTAGAGTAGGAAAGAACCTCAAAAGATTCTGTCTCATAGGTGCTCCCATTGACTTAATTTTTGTTAAGTACATTGACTTAGTACATTTGATTAGATTGCTCCACATAAACTATTTTATCTAATCTTCAGAACATTCCTTTAAAGGACATATAATTATTCCCTTTTTGCTGAAAAGGACTTTACCTCGGGTCTCACAATGAGTAAGTGGAAGAACCAGAATTTGAAAGAGGCAGTGAGACTGGTACCAAAGGTGTCCAACCCGCAGCCCATAGGCCACGTGCGGCCCAGGATGGCAATGAGGCCCAACACAAAATCATAAACTTACTTAAAACTTTTCTTTTTCTCATCAGTTTTCGTTAGTGTTTGTGTATTTAATATGTGGCCCAAGACCACACTTTTTCTTCCAGTGTGGCCCAAAGATGCCAGGAGGTTAGACACTCCTAGTACTGACGGACCACCACAGATGAGGGCAGGCTCTGGAACCAGTGGGTTTAAATTCCAGCCTTGCCACGTACCAGCTGGTTAGGTCTGGACAAGTTACTTCACCTTTCTGGGTCATCCATTCTTCATCTATATAATAGAAAGAATCAAAGTAACTCTTCCACAGAAGTGGGGAAAATTCAATGAATTAATAGAATAGAGCACTAAAAATTATGCCCAGCATAAAGAAAGCAGTCAGTAACATCAGCAGTACTTCTGTTGTTATTATTATTATTTATTATTATATCACTAGGTAGGATGCATTCCAACTTTTTTGATTCAGCTTGACCTATTAGATCCTGGGATTACCAAAATAATGAGGGGGCAACACAGAAACCGTACTCAAAAAACATGCCGCCAAAAAAATTTGAGAATAACATGATAAGGGTCACAGCACAGCTGTGCACACTGCATCCCCTTCTGACGCTGGCAGTGCTGCACGCTGACAATGACGGGGTGATAGCTAGGAAAGGCGGGCAGACAATTCTGCAGAAAAGAGCAAGAGCTTACAAAAATATGAAATGACACGGGATTGTCTCAAAGAGCATGGAGAAAGTGTGAGGCGGAATATATGTAGAAATGAGATGGGAAAGGCTTAGAGGGCACAAGTCATGGAAGCCGCATCCATTTATCAGCAAGCGTCCACTGAACACTGATCTGAGCGGGGCACTGTGCTAAGCACTGGGGATGGAGTGTTAGAATAGCAAAAAGACATGCCTCATGTCCTGAGAGTCTGCTGAGAAAAATGTGTTTGAACAAGTAATTGCATTCCAAGTGTGATGGGTCTTACCAAAGAGGAAGTGTGAGGGAAATGAGCCAATGGCAAAAGATTGGAGGAGGAATCAGAAAAGCCTTGGATAAGGTTATAGGTAAGCCAAGATCAGGTGAATGAGTAAGCTAAGAGCTAGGTGGGAGTAGAGGGTGAGGGAGGCTTTAGACAGTCAGACCAGTTTAGACAACGGCCTTAAGGCAGGAAGAAAAGCATCCTGTTGAGGGGGACTATTTCTGGAGACGTGGGCAGAGACCAACCATACGATGCAGAATTGCAGAAGCTATATTAAGGGTTTGGTACTAAGAAGACTTTGCATAATGTAAAGGAGGTAAAGTCACAACCAGATTCATGTTTTAAAGGATCATTTTGTTTGGAGTAGAGGAAATTGATTGCAGGGGAGTAACGAGTACAGTGACAGCACTGGAAATGGAGTAAAAAGGAGTGATTCTAGAATTACATATTTTGTATTTAGGCTAAAGAGAAAATGGATGGAATGTGAAGGATGAAGAGACGCAGAATTCAAGGGTGATGTTCAGATGCCCAAAGTAAGCCACTAAGAGCTTGATGGGTACTTTGTACAAAGATAAGGGACAGTGGAGGAGAAGCAAGTTTCGTTGGATCATAACCAGGTCAAGTTTTAGGCTGGTCGAGAAAGAGGTCCCCTGTGAAATATACAAGTAGACAGCAAGTGGCCCAGTCTCTAAGTATGCTAGGAATAAAGATTATTTACATGTGAATATTCCCAGCCTCCCTCTCTTCTCAAGACTCTATGCCAAAATAACCAACATCTCCTTCATCCTTAAGGAAAATTTGGTCTTTGTTAGCCTAGTTCTTGAACTGTTATCATGATAAACAAGAGGAAAGAGATGGAGAAGAAAACATGGGGCAAAGATCTGGTTTGTGGGGAAAAGTTCAAAGGAAAAAAAGACTGGAGTGTTGCGAGTACAAGGCTCAGGGTCAGAAATGGGAAAAACTGGGAGCCTATAACAAAGGGATTGACTGAGGCTGGACTGGGGGACTGTGAGAGGTAACAGATTTTAAGAAATATTGCTGCCCCTGGCCAGTGCGGCTCAGTTGGTTGGAGTGTCATCCATAAACCAAAAGGTCACAGGTTCAATTCCTGGTCAGGGCACATGCCTCTGTTACGGGTTCCATCCCTGGTAGGGACGCATATAAGAGGCAACCGATTAATGTCTGTCTCTCACATCAATGTTTCTCTCCCCACCCCACCATCCACTCTCTAAAAATCAATAAGCATGTCCTCAGGAGAGGATTAAAAAAAAAGAAATACTGTTGAGTTATAACCTACACACTATTATATCATTCAAGACACAAGACTAGTATTTTTTTCAATTGCTTTTAGTTGCTGGACTATAATGCAAGTCCAAACTGAGACTGGGCTACGGAGGGTTTGGGGGTTATACAAGCATCTGGAGCTCAAAACATGGTTCTGTGTGACTAGTGCCCATAACTGAAACCATGGAAATGGAGGAGAGCTTACAAAAATGGGGTATGAGAAGAATACCTACAACTGAGTCCAGAAAAATTGCA